ATATTTGAAAATTAACTAATTGCCTTTCACAGACAAATGTTCTAACATACCTCCTTATTTGTTAGCACTCCTTTCCGCCGACGCACTCTTGGCATTACAGCATTGCGATTACGGGGAACCAGAACTTCCCCGTCATCTTTAACCAGGTCTTCAATGTCCTCCATTGCGTTTTAGTCTGTAACTGTTTATGCGAAGGAATAAAATTAGTTTTATCAAAGTGAGAGTAATAAAATTCAACACGTCCAACTGACCCAAACCAAAAAAGTAAATGCACATTTAATGTCTGACAGACAATAGAAATCAGGTATTTGTGTACATATAGGATGGAAAACCTTTTTTACTACTTTTATACATTATTTCAGCTTATTTAATTCTAGCCTGGATATTTTTAGTGATGACTTTTGCCCTGTTTTGGCCAGTGTACATGTATACGTGAAAACTACAATAGCCAGATTCTGTTCTTTCAGGGTTAACAGGCATAACTTTTCAAATCAGAATTTTAGCTTTTCAACTACATGTCCTCTGTTCTTTCCACTTTCACCTGGAATAATAATATCTTCATTACTCTGTGATTTGAGGTCTTCCCCCCTAAGTCCTTTGAGGGGCTCTGTATTTTAACCAAAGCAAATATTCATTTTTTACTTATGCAAGAAAAAAAAATAAATCAAGCAGAATTGATAAAAAATAAAATGCACTTTTTGCTGTCTAATATTACTATGGTCTACACCAGTCGGAATTCATCTCTTTCGTCTAAAGATCATGCAATCATACATCTGTCTTAGTAGGAGTAATTCAAAATCATATATATAACATATTTCATCTATCTACTTAATGTAATAAATTTATGATTTATTTCTTTAAAAGAACCCTTCCACTGGGGGACTGTGGGGTGATGAAAAAAAAAAGGAATAATACGTCAACATTCGTGGCACCTAAAATAAAAAAACACTAAATTCTGACAATTGCCAGTAACAAATAGACCGATTCGGTAACGCCTAGCAACTGCCCCTAGCAACGAACACTTGGCGAAAACAAACCCTTATTTGTTCGAAAACTCACTGCGCTTTGCTTACAAAGTCACTGAATTTTTCTGAGAATTTAGTTTCTTTGCGTGTAAATACCGAGGAGCTGTGTTGCCATTGGTTGTTTGAACACAACATGATGGGAAAGAAAGGTTCTACCTTTCATATATTCCCAGATTGTGAAAAGAAACCTGAATAATGGAAGCAATGGGTAGACCTACAGGCCATGAAACACATGAATGCTGATGGAAGTGCTTGGGTGCCTGGTAGAAAATAGGTTTACATCTGCTTAGAACATTTTATTAATCTACATATTAATATCTTATACCTTTTCAAATTCCAGAGACAGATAATCACTTTCAAACTCTATCTACACTACCTACCAAGGCCAAACAAGGTCAACATTATCAACATTATGTTTTGGCAGCAGTCATATACTCTAACAAGCACAACGGAAATTTTATTTTTTTTTTTTTTTTTTTTTTTGTAATGAACTGATTCATCATAATCTAAATTTACAGGCAAACCATCCGCGGTTCCAACTCACCCAGACTTTACCCCAAGTGTCTTCAAGCACTGTCCTTTAGATGAAAACAAAGCAGGCATACAGTTGTATGTTGCCTTTGTGTCTGAATGTCATATGGTCTAGCAAATGAAACAACTGAAGAGGGCCTATCTCTGAAGGTCAAATTATTGAGGAGAGAGAAAAATTTGTTGTGCGCTTGTAGGCCTTTACGTGACTTCATTTTCTCCCTTGTATAAACACCTTGTAAACAGGAAGAAAACTGATGTTAGGAAATGGCACTAATTTCACAGAAAAATACCCTATATAGGTAAAAATCATAGATTACAGTAGTAAATTGTGTAATCATAAAATTATTATTATTACGTCGTGTGTTGGTGAAATAGTCGTAGATGCCAGGATATTTAATATATGCCATTTCGAAATATTGTTGATCCAAATTTTGGCAGGCAGACGGTAGGGGCACTCTTTTAGCTGCAAAACTGCTAGTTCTGCTTCATATAGATTTTTCGCTTCGGTTTTTGAAGAACTGAAGAATTCATACACCATTTTCACTCACGCTGATAGCGAGGTATCTGCGAGCGACGGATCTGTTTTCACCAAGTGGAATGGTGACTCCGACTCGTGACGTCACACCGAATCGGTCTATAGGTACCACAATCCAACTACAATAGCCTAACATAATCATATTTTTTTAGTTCATAATCTTTATCTCTGTTATTACATAATGATATATCTATTAATATTGAAATAAGTTCACCAAGCTTTTGTATGCATGTTACACTACCTAATAATATTCTAAATAATACACAAATTACAATTTAACATTAGGAAGTCCTGTAACAATGAGGGTATTTAACCACTGGTATAATCTGATGTGCCAATTTAACTCTATATCACATGCAAACACCCCAGGAAGAGATGGAATCAATCTAATTTCTGCTTTTTCTCTATCAACTGTTATAAAAGTGTTTTACTTATATAGTGAATAATCTCTAATACTATCAAAATATTCAGATAATATTGTATATAATGTAATTCTTCACTTTTAAATCAATCACAGTCAGCTAGCCAACAGGCAATGTATCAAAATCACCACAGTATCATTCTGGTGTTTCTCCCATTGCCAAGACGTGGATATTTCGACACTGCCATGATGACACCATAAAACAAGTGGAATCTTATTAATCTACTAACAGTGAATTGCATAAAGTTCCAACTGCTTAGAGTGTAATAAAGTAATGAGTTAGACCACCAGATTAATCCTAATTCACCTGCACCGCAATGATCATACCATTAAACCCATCAATATGATATAAAAACAAACCATCTAATTTACTCACACGAAGAAACCTTCACTAACAATACCCTATCCAACTTCGCCCACCACAGAATAACCAGTAGTTGATAGCCCTGAGACAAACCAATCCGGCTGAGGTTTTACCAATGCGATTCTTACGAGTCACTGAATTAATTGATAACTATCTTCACCCGACTCTATTACCGAGCTTGTCCCCGATGAGCCTGTGTTTTGGTGTCAGCGTGTCGGCCGCGTCGTGATTCATAGTACGAGTCTGCTGTTACCTTTCTGTTGGTTATTGTGGCTTGTGATTTCATTCATTCTATTTTTATTATGGTTATTTCTTGCGTTTTTGTCTAGTTTTTGTGGTTATTTGTGATATGTATTTCGGGTATTGAGGTACTGGTATTTTTTGAAAAGCGGATGGTTTATTATAATTGTATGTCTGTTTAATATCTTGACTAAATTGTGGTATTTTTATCTTATGCTGATTTTAAATTTTATAATAAATGTTCAAATTTTCTTATGTAATTTTACTTATTGGACGTATTAGTGAAGTTTTTCATTTGACCGACGAAGGTAAATAAGCCCATCGTCTGCCGTGTAAACACCACATGATAAGAAACACCCGGTGCAGGGATTAAAGTCTCAGCTTCTGTAAAATGCTGTTTACGCTAAGACTTGACTCTGTAAGGCCGTGTGTGAACAGACGAAGTAATGTTTCGAGGTCCCTTGGGCTCCTGAAAAGGCATCTTTCTGGGAGTAGAAGTTCCGAGAGTGAAAAAGTTGACAAAAGTGAGACGTCGACTGGAAAGTATTTTGTGACAACTCCCATATTCTATGTGAACGCAGAACCACACATAGGGCATCTACATTCAGCCCTTTTAGCAGACGCAGCTCATAGGTTCCAGAAACTTCGGAATCCAGCAATAAATACAATATTTTCCACCGGTACCGATGAACATGGTCTCAAAATTCAGCAGTCATCCATGGCAGCAGGCTGTGATCCGTTGGTGTTTTGTAATCAGGTTTCCCATAAATTCAAGGCGTTATTTGATTTAGTGGATGTTGGATATACAGACTATATACGGACAGTTGAAGATAGACATAAAATTGCAGTAGGACATTTCTTTAACAAATTGAAGGAGAATGGACACATATATCAGGGAAATTACAGTGGTTGGTACTGTGTATCAGATGAGGCCTACCTTACCGAGTTGCAGGTTCGTGAAGTGCAGTTACAGTCTGGGGAAAAGCAGCTGGTGAGTTTAGAAAGTGGACACCCTGTGGAATGGAATAGTGAAGACAATTATATGTTCAGATTATCAAGTTTCCAACAAGATTTGCAGTATTGGTTGAAGGATGACCAGCATGTGCAGCCTGAGCGGTATCTTCAACAACTTAGGGGATGGGTCAGTGAAGAGTTACATGATTTGTCAGTGTCTCGTCCTAGAAAGCGAGTGTCGTGGGGCATTCCTGTACCAGAAGACAACAAGCACACATTATATGTCTGGGTAGATGCACTTGTTAATTACCTCACAGTTGCAGGATATCCTGACCAACTGGTATGGCCTCCAGATGTTCAAGTTTTAGGCAAAGATATATTACGATTTCATGGTATTTATTGGCCTGCCCTCCTAATGGCTGCAGGTCTAGATCCTCCAAACAAACTTCTATGTCATTCTCATTGGACAATTGAAGGCGAAAAGATGAGTAAGTCCAAAGGCAATGTTGTCTGCCCAAAAGACCGTGTAGAGCGTTATACAAGTGATGGGTTACGATACTTTCTACTTAGAGAAGGGACACCACATTCAGACAGTAGTTGGAGTGACACTCGAGCAGTTCGCCTTCTAAATGCAGAACTTGCTGATTCCTTAGGAAATCTAATGAATAGATGCACAGCACAGTCTTTAAATCCCCATCAGCAAAGACCACCTCTATGCCCACAATACAAAGAGAATATGCCTTTATCAGGTCAGAAACTGGTGGAACAGTTGGTCATGCTTCCAGATCTTGTGGAAAAGCATTATACTGATTTTAATTTTTATCGTGGCATTGATGTGATTATGGCAGCTGTAAGGCAAGCAAATGTTTTTGTACAAGAAGAACGACCATGGGAACTGAAGAACCAGACAGACCGAAGAAAGCTGGATTCAGTGTTGCGTGTAGCTTTAGAGACAGTACGTACAGCTGGAATTGCACTTCAGCCTATTGTACCAAGACTGGCTTCATGCTTACTAGATACCATAGGTGTTCCAGATCATCAGCGCAGTTGGACCAATTTGCGTGAAGGATTTTATAATGGAAACCAAGATGAGCTGAGTACCCCCTACAAACTTGGAAGACGTACTAAGCTGTTCAAGAAAATAAAAGATTAATATCTATGTATCTGTCTATATATATATAATAATAACATTAGTCAATTTATAAAATTTTTTCAGATGTGCAAACATTTCAAAGATTTGTGATTCTGATGTCTGAAATTTTTCTGACTATTCAATGTGATCAGACTGTATCAAAGATGTACAATATTGTAAATAGTACTGATTGTAAATTATTAATTTTCTAAGTAAAGTCTTTGTATGTTATTTGATATTTCAATAATCCACAGCTTACAAAAATCAAATGTTTTAAGATTTTTTCTCTGAGTTTAGATTAGCACTTCAACATCAAACTTACTATAGAGAGATAAAATTCCAAATAATAATGAGTAATTGTGTGTGTTTGAATCATTCAGGAGAAATTAATGGATAATTTTTACACAGAAACTGAAAATGTTTGAAGAGGACAGCAGCTAACAGCATACACCACTAGTTTGAATCATTGATGTTAAGCAACATATATATAATGTATATGATGTATATATGATATATATAGTATAATATATATATAGCTATATATATATATTATAATAATATATATTGTGTGGTTGGTGTGTGTGTGTGTGTGTGTGTGGTGTGTATATAATATACATATCATAATCTATATCTATATATATAACATATCTTATCTATATGAATCTATCACACCACACACCACACACACACATAATTATACTAACAATATTATATTATATATAGTATATATAGTTATTTTATATATATATATATTATATATATATTAATATATATTTAAGTAATATTATAATAATATATATATTAATGAATATATATATAATATATATATATATATATATTAATAGATATATAATAAATATGAATATATGTGTAATGACGTTATGTTATATAAATTCATAATATTATATATATATATACATATTATACTATTATATATATATATAGTGTATAAGCTTTATCAACATATAATATATATGAATATTATATGTTATTATCTTCGTATAAGTTTTAATATACTGTAGTAAATGATATATATACTATAATATCAGATATAGTAGTAATATATGGAATATAGGTTATCTATAATATATACTATATAATATATATATATATATATATATATGAATACGTATTTTTAATTATTATATATACTATATATATATAATATATCTAATGAATATATGTGTATATATGTATAGTAAAATAATACTAATACTGTATATGAATATATAGTATAACGACATAAGCATCTGGATATCGTGATCACTGCGACTCATATATATCCATAATTCAAACCCCAGGGGTGATCTCAGCGCCCCCCACAACAAACAACGCGACGATATATATATAGGTATGTAATGTGTAATGTATGTATGTAATGTTAGTATGTATGTGTGTGTGTGATGTGTGTGTTTTCGTACTTTTGTGTTGTTTGTTAGTCTGTTGGTGTGATAACGGTGTATGGTGTATGTGTAATGATGTTAGGTGTGCGTGTGTGTGAGTTGACGGTGTAGTCAGATAGATATAGATATGGTTCATAAATATTTATATACTATCTAGGTCAATCTATCTATAATACTATATATTGTATAGTTAGTATGTATAAATTATATATATATAATATATATATAAAGGTATAAGTTAACCTGCTTGTGTCTTGGATGTGGGCTGGTCGTGTGATGTGTATATATGAATAATCAGTGCATTATGCTGTGGTGTGCGTGTACGTTTACATATAAATATGGTCCAATGCGAGGTGTATGTAATACATGAATAATGATAATTGAATTAAAATTTTTTATGGATCTTGTTAAATGACAGGACTCTTGTGTAACAGCCATTTCAGGAACATTATAGAGCGTAGTCCTGTTCATTGTGCCTCTAAGACTACCCCCTGAAAATACGAAGGAAGGAGCAGCAATCATTGTCGGTGCACGAAGCGGAGATGTGAAGCGGCCAGGTCAGAACCGAAGATAGCCTTTAAGGGAGGAGAAAGAGCTGGCAGGTCTGCACAGAACACGTAGGGAGCCGATTAGCTAGTCGTATCAGAGGTGGTGTGTGCTTGGGCTTGCTCACTTACATCAGACCACAACAAGCTCTACATCACACACACGCAACACTACACGCAACAACACACACGGTCACACACATATATATGAAATATGTGATATTATATTAATATAGTATTATAAATAATATATATATATGTGGTGTGGTGAGTGTGTGTGTGTGTTAGTGTGTGTGTTGTGTGGGGTGGTGTGTGGTGTTTGTGTGTGTATGTGTGGTGTGTATCATATA